GCCAAGGAGACCTAGGGTTTCTCCTATTCCATCCTGTAATGTTTTCAGAGTGTCTGCTTTGACTTCAACACAGCCCCACTTTTTGAACTGTGATCCTCAGATCTCAGTCTTCTGAGTGGTAGGATTACAGTTATAAGCCATGAAGTGGGCAACCAAGCCTCCCCATTTCTAAGCACTCCTACTCAACATGCCATTGGACAGAGGAAGGAGGAAAGAATTAGGAAAGACTATTTGCTATACACCAGCACCCCCTATAGACCAGAACGTGAAAATGCTAGGCTCCTTACATGTATTCTCTATCAGAGGAGGTGGATGTGATCATTCCAATTTCACAGGTAACTAATCCGAGCTTGGAAAAGTTACGGTTTTCCTTTGTGACACAACTGGTAAAACACAGCCAGAATTTGGAATGAGATCTGAGCTCAATACATTTGTGTTTTCTAGCACACCCAATCAATCTTTCCTGATTGAAGTGTGAAAGTCCATTAAATTGCTGATTAGGCTTATGACAGGACAGTAGAATGGTTCTTTGTGCTGGTCTTGGCATTGTATGACATAGTCTGAATCACTGACTTATTCTTTGCTCTTTACTGGAGTGTATAATGTGGTAAGTTATCTTAGCTAATTGCACCTTAATCTTTTCATCTGTCAAATGCATCCTAAAGTTGTTAGGATGTTGACCAGTTGTAATACTTGCAAGCATGTAAGGATGCATACTTGTTACTCCAGTTTGGCCTCTGAGATTACGGAAACCAGATGACATAGTTCTATCATTTTCTAGTTCTTGGATTCTGTACAACACACACATACACACATACAGAGAGAGAGAGAAAAAAAACACCCTCTGTAATAATGATATTTCTTTCTCTTCCTCCCTTCCTTTCTTCATTTCTCTCTCTCTCTCTTTCTTTCTTTCCTTTTCTTCCTTTCTTTCGTGGCCACCACTGGAGACTGAATCCAGGACCTGGGAACTGTCCCTGGGCACTGTCCCTGAGCTTCTTTTGCTCAAGGCTAGCACTCTACCACTGGAGCCACAGCACTACTTCTGGCTTTTTCTGTTTATGTAGGGGCTTCATGCATGCAAGGCAAGTATTCTACTACTAAGCCACATTCCCAGCCCTCATAGGGGAGTTTCTGATGACCAAATTAATTCATTCCTATACAACTCTTAGAATGATACCTGGCATATAGAAAGTACTAAATGCTTATGTACATATAGTTATAGTTGTTAATATAGTTATTGTTATTAATAAAAAGGACTCCAGAACTCATTCAGGTGGCCGGATTAAATTAGGATATAATATTGCAGCCTCTACAAATGATCAGCTGGGACAGGGTCCTTTGTTCCTAACCAACCATATTGGTGACATGTCTCTTCTCAGTCTGAAGCATAGCTCCTATTTTTATCCCAGTTCAGTCTCTTGGGATGACAGCTATGGAGGACCTTCTTGTACTCATTTTTTTCCATATGTTTCATAAATAAGACACTCAGCATTGGTCTCTGGAATAAGAAAACAGTGACTCCTTGATACCTTAAAATAACAAACTAAGAAAGAGCAACAAAATGAATTTAATAAAAGAAAATCACAATGGGGAGACACTGATCTAAAGCAAAAAATTGAGGACAAATCATAGCCAAGTTTTTGCTCAAGTGAAGTAAATGGGAGTCAGGATGGGGGGATATTTACTTCTGACAAATATTGTAATTTTCCCTTTTTCTCTTTATTATCCTTCTGAATGACCTTGAATACAAGAGGCCAGTCAAAATAGGAGCTTCATGGTTGAATGGTTGGGGAGGATTTTGCATGGACTGAAGAGGGTGATGCTATGTGTGCAATATGGCCATTTTATCCCAGAGATCGAGTCACAAAGGAGTAAGTAGGTTAAAATGAGATTCTATAATGCATGGAAAATGAAAAGGCTGGGCCTTAGTTTTCAGAGCTATAAAATAAGATAGGTAGAATAGGCCCCTTTCAGTTTCAATAATCTGATCCTCAGAGTATTCACCCCACCATCCCACCACCATCCATGCCCAGAGCACATTCAGCAATATACCAGAAGATGTGATATGGTGCACATTCAAGTGTCATACTTACCAGGTGCAAGCCAGCAGGCAAGTGATTTAATTTCTCTGTGCCTCAGTTTCCTCATCTTTAAAGTAAGGCCTCATAGGATTAAAACAAAAATACATGTAAAATACTGTAGTAACAGTTGACTTACAGTAAAAGAAAAGAAGATATTTTGAGACATGGCAGGAGCTCCAGCAATGACTGAGCCTGTTATTGGAAATAGTATCCAACCCCTGTCATTTATCATTTTCTTTCAAAGATAGTAGTGATTCTCAAAGTATCCTGGGAATTCTAGCATCAGAATTCCTAGGGGAAGGTTACTGAAAAACACATCTTTCTTGGCCCTTACCTCCACATCTATCAAATGACCATCTCTGATCACTAGGCCCTTTTTAGCATACCTGATGAAATTTGAGAGTCACTGCTTTATTATTTTAATAGCCTAATTTAGAGTCTTTCTAATTTTAAAAAAAATGTGTTGGGGCTTAGAGCCAGTGGTTCATACCTGTCATCTTTGCTACTCAGGAAGCTAAACTCTGAGGATCATGGTTAGAAGACAGCCAGGACAAGTGAGTCTGTGAAACTCATATCTCTAATTAACCATCAAAAAGCCAGAAGTAGAGCTGTGGTCCAAATGGCAGAATGCTAGCCTGGAACAAAAAAGCTCAGTGATAGTACCCAGGCCCTACGTTTAAGCCCCAAAGACTAGCACATAAAGGTGTTGAAATATTTCCTGCTATCCTTTAACCTCAGGAAAATTGCCTATTGTCATCATAATTAAGCCATCAATTCTTTACTATTTTTATGTGCAAGAATCTTTGAACAGAGCTTGGCACTGGTTGTTTATGTTTGTAATCAGGAGGATGAGATCTGATGATTGTGATTTGAAGCCAACCTGGGCAGACAAATCCTCAAGGCTCTTATCTCCAATTAATCAGTAAAAAGTCAGAAGTGGGTGTGTGGCTCAAGGAGTAGAGTGCCAGCTTTGAGTGCCAAGTGAGAGTGTAAGGTCTTTAGTTCAACCCCAGTACCAGCAGAAAGAAAAAAAATAGAATCCCTGAAGAGAACTGAATTGGATAGGCCTGGTTCAAATAGATTTCTTTTTTTTTCTTTTGGTGCAGGTCCTGGGGCTTGAACCCAGGGTCTGGATGCTGTACCTGAGCTTTTTTTCAGAGCTCTAATAGGGCTCTCAAAGTGGGCAGATAATTGAGCTGGGGACATGGCTCAAGTAGTAGAGTGCCTGCCTAAGTTCAATTTCCAGTACTTCCAAGAAGAAAAAAAAATTCAGAATGGGCAGCGAGCAGAGCATCAGTGGCTCACACCTATTATCCTAACTACTCAGGAGGCTCAGATCTGAGGATCAAGGTTCAAAGTCAGCCTGGAAAGGAAAGTTTGTGAGACTCCTATCTTCAATTAACCACCAAAAAAACATGGAAGTGGAACAGTGGCTCAAGTATTAGAGTGCTATCTTTGAACACAGAAGCTCAGGGACAGTGCCTACCTAGGCCCTGAGTTTAAGCCCTGAAACTGACACATACAAAAAAGAATGTGAAGACAGCGAATAGCTGAAAGTCAAGAGATCCAGAAGCCCAGCAGTTATCTTTGCTGAACAAGTCAGGGAGATGATTGCTATTTTAGCATCCTTCTTTGAATGTTTTTAAGATTTGCTTAGATAAAAATGCTCATCCATAGAAAGCCATCTAAGATTGAATATCAAGGTCATGGAATTTACTTGAAACATCCTTCAGTTTTAGAGTATTTTATGTAGGAATTTGTGGACATTAACCCACCCAAAAATCAAAACACATGTATTGTATTCTATTAAGAATTTTGAGCTGCTGAATGCTGGTGGCTCACACCTGTAATCCTAGCTACTCAGGAGGCTGAGATCTGAGAATCATGGTTCAAAGCCAGCCTGGCAGGAAAGTCCATGAGATTCTTATCTCCAATTAACCACAAGAAAAATGGAAGTGGCACTGTGGCTTAAGTGGTAGAGTACTTGCCTTCAGCTAAAGAGCTAAGGGACAGCACCCAGGCCCAGAGTTCAAGCCCAACAACTGACAAAAAAAGAATTTTGAGCTGGGAGTTGGTGGTTCACATCTGTAATCCTAGCTATTCAGGAGGCTGAGACCTGAGAATCATGGTTCAAAGCCAGTCCAGGCAGCAAAGTCTATGAGACTTTCTTTTTGTCTGTCTTGAACTCTGGGCCTGGGTGCTGTCCCTGAGCTCTTCAGCTCAAGGCAAGTACTCTACCACTTTGAACCACAGCACCACTTCCAGTTTTCTGATGGTTAATTGGAGATAAGGGTCTTACAGACTGTCTTTCCTGGGCTGACTTTGAACTGTGATCCTCAGATCTCAGCTTCCTGAGTAGCTAGGATTACAAGTGTGATCCACCAGCACCCAGCTGTGAGACTCTTATCTCCAATTAACTGCCAGAAAACCATAAGTGGCACTGTGGCTCAGAGTGGTAGACCACTATCCTTGAGTGAAATAGCTCAGAGACAATGCCCAGGCCCTGAGTTTAAGCCTCATGAGGGACAAAAGAGGAGAGAGGAGAAAGGAGGGAGGAGAGAAGGAAGAGAGGGGTGAGAGGGGGTGAGAGAGAGAGAGTTTTGAGAACAAATATGTAAATAATATTGATTCAATGACTTCATTGATTCAATGATCTCATTCCTTACCAGCCAAGAAATCAAACTGTTTCAGGTCTACTTTTAAACCATTAGTGGAAGTGGTTTAGTCTGGCAGATATTTATGACATGAAACCATGTTTCTTATTTTATTGCCAGTTTCATGCACGACCAAATCCAAAGATGGATAAAGATTTAGTCTAATATTTACTCACTCTAGAGTCAAAGAGTCAATATTCCTAACAACCTTTTGTTCCACAGAATTGGACTAAAATCAGACATTTCTTTCTTTTTTTTCTCTTTCATTTTATTTGAAAAGTACAGAAGGTTACAAAAATAAGAGCAAATTTTTTTGTTTTTCAAACAAAATTTGTTCTTATAGTCTTGAAAATCTACACTAAAGCTAGGAAATTTAAATAAAAAATCTGAAAGTGACACAATCAACACTCGGTTTTGCAAATGTGAAGTGCCAAAATATGCTTTTTAGCAGTAAAATTCACAATTGGGGACAAGAGCAAATGAATCTGCAAAGTGTAGTTCTCTTAACAATTGTGTCAATTAACAGAAGACACACAGCTCCTTCTTTGATGGAACTTTTCATGTATGTAACCAAAACCAACAACTGGTACACTGGAACTGTTGAGAGGAAGAAAAATTATCCTTGTGGGTTCCCTAAGAGGCAGAGATTACGCTACGTAGGAGGCTGAGATCTGAGGATCAAGGTTCAAAGCCAGCCAGGCAGGAAAGTCCATGAGACTCTTATTTCCAATTAACTACCAGAAAACCAGAAGTGGAGCTGTGGCTCAACTGGCAGAATGACAACATTAACACAAAAGCTCAGTGACAGTGCCCAGGCTGAGTTCAAGTTCCCTGAGGACTGGTGCACACAAAAAATGGATTCCAATTTCAAATTTCTCCTCAGTATTACTGTGGTCCTTAGGGAAAACCAGTTAGTTCTGTGATTCTTATGTGAGGTCCTGAGCCCTGAGATTGTTTGGAGCATGCTGGAATTTCTAGGGGTATTTACAGCAGACCTAAATTCTCCCTGCCAAGTTGGCAGTATTCTAAACCTGAGGGCATCTTAGCAAAAGGAAAGTTTCTGAGTTTCAGGAGGCTTGCACAATTCAGTTTTATGGGCTGGTCACTTACCAAGGCTCTTAGAGATTTAGATTTTCTTCTGGAAGTTTTTTTCCACACTACAAAACTCACATTTAACAAAAAATTTTATCATTTCTTATTTTTATGCCAGTACTAGGGCTTGGACTCAGGGTCTCATGTTTTTTTTTTTGTTTCCTCTTTAAGGCTGTTGCTCTACCACTTGAATCACAGTTACTTTTCCAGTTTTTTGCTGGTTAACTGGAGATAAGAGTCTTGGGGACTTTCCTGCTCAGGCTAGCTTTGAATCTCAATCCTCAGATCTCAGCCTCCTGAGTAGCTAGGATTATAGGCATGAGCCACTGGCAATCAGCGGAAGACACTTAGTTGTTTTTTTTTTCAAATTCTTTATTGTGATTAAGTGATTACATAAATTTCCCAAATTTCACAGTGTTGTGGGATAGTGATGCTTAGTTAAAGTCACAAACACATTCTAACTTTCATGGGACAAAATGTCTATCGTGGTCTATAACATTTATGAGTTCTATGAGCTTTGCAATACAGTTATTTCTTCCACACTGGGTGATATGTACATTTCTTTTGTTTTGCATAACGTCAGATGTTCCCTCTTTCCCACTCGTTCCCTCCCTCTCATCGCTGCCATTGAGTTGTTTAGTTCATTTTGATCAATGTCCAGTGCAGCTGACGCGTCCCACTGTTGTACATTTTTCCCTGATTCCCTCTAGTTCTGTGTCGTCCTCCTGGTTTCCCTCCGGTGTGCACATATATACCATATATGTGATCAGCAGCATGGGATTATTTAGTGGTGATTCGACCAGATGAGTAGAAGTCCTTTGTTTCTTAAGTCTTGTTAACTTTGTCGTATCACCTTACATTTTGGATTTAACATCCACTTATCAGGGAGACCATGTGCCGTTTGTCTCTTTGTTCTTGGCTTACCTCACTCAACATGATTTCTTCTAGTTCCATCCATTTCCCTGCAAATGCCATTATTTTGTCCTTTCTAATGGCTGTATAATATTCCATTGTGTATAGATACCACAATTTTTGGATCCATTCATTTGTGGTAGGACATCTGGGTTATTTCCATATCCTGGCTATTGTGAACAGTGCTGCAATAAACATGGAGGTGCATGTGTCCTCATATACTGGTTCCTATTGTTCAGGATAGATGCCTAGAAGTAGTATGGCTAGGTCATAGGGGAGGTCAATATTCAGCTTTCTAAGGACCCTCCAGATTGCTTTCCAAAGTGGTTGTATAAGTGTACATTCCCACCAGCAGTGTAATAGGGTTCTTCTTTTTCCACATCCCCTCCAGCATTTGTCATTGGCTGACTTGAGGATGTGGGC